TGCTTAGTGCCTCGCTTTTGTTGAGGCTGGATTTGAAGTTGCAATCCTCCTGCCTCAACCTCTGGAGCCACTGGGATTATAGGAATGTGCCACCAGGCTCAGCTGGCCTTGAACTCTTGATTCTTCTGCCTCAAATCAGGCTCAATCTCCCCAGTAGCTGGGATTACAGGCTTGTGCTACCAGGCCTATCTAACTATAAACTGTTATTATATGGGAGATGGCCACCAGCACATTGCATGTAATCCCTGTGACTCTGGAGACTGAAGCAGGAGAAGCACAAGTTCAAAGCTAGTTTCAACAATTTACCCAACACCTTAGTGAGGCCCTAAGCAGCCTCAGCAATTTAGCAAGGCCTTATCTCAAAAAATAAAAAGGGTTGGAGTTGTGGCTAAGGAGTTGAGCACCTGCCCCCCCTTCAATCCATGAGACAAAACTAACAAAAAAACTATATATGGGGAAGAGTGACCAAGACCCTGGCTCTCTGTTGACATCTGACCTCAAGTCAGATTGGCTGAGAGTATTTCAGATATCCAGGCCAACAAAGGGGGACATGAAGACTAGTGTCATCCTGAAAGGCCAAGGAGGATGATTCAAACAGATTCTGTTTCCCATTCAGCACGGGCTCAGTTCATCCCATGCTTCCATTTCCACCCAGCTACACTTTCCAGGAAGGGTTGGCTGTTCTCACACACCTTCCTCCTGCTTCCCCTTCCCTGCTGGTCCTAGACTCTATAACTACAGTGAGGAGAACTTGGGCAATGGCCCTCCCTACCCACTCAGGACTTGGGTCTGGAGGATGACCCTGGCCGGGAGAAAAGGTTTAAATACCATCTTTTCCCATCCTCTCTGCCCTTTGAGGCACACTGTGGCTTTGGAAGATGGTGCCAGAAGAAACTGGGAGGTGTGGTGTGTGGAATGTCTGAGCCAACTCTGATCTGCACACTGGACTATAATTGGTTTTTCTCACACAACACTGGGCTCCTCAGCCTTGCCTTGCACAAAGTCTATTAACTCTGTGCACAAAGCCTGGACCACAGCGCTGTTTATGCTGTGTGGGTTGGGGGGAATTTCGTGTTCTGTACAACGTATGAGGGGTGTGTGCATGTTGTGTAAGGTTTGTGTGTGGCGAGTGGATTTTCTGAGTTGTTGTGTGTGATAAACATGTATACTGTGTAATGTATGTAAGGATGTGTTACTTGGTTAAAGTTACCATAAATGCAGCCTGTCCTACTCTCGGGACCAGAAAAGACTGGAATACAAGCCAACTCTTTATTGGTCAGTTTGGTAAGACCTGGTTCTCCACCTCAGCTGGGAGAGGTGGACCTGGGGTGGCCGAGCTGAGTGACCCTGAGGCTCGGCTGCCATAGGGAGGATGGGAGCCATCATGTCCTCCAAGAGTCTTCGGCAGGGAGAGCCTGCCTCCTGCCCGAGCCGGAGAGACCCGGGAGAATCCAGGATGCCAGCGGGGAGAACTGGGTGCTCCGAGGCAGGCGGGCAGGGGCGGGGCTAAGGGCTGCGGCTGGGTTCGCAGGGGCGGGGAGGGGCGGGAGAGTGAGGTTCCGAGAATGGCTGGGTCGGGGCCAAGAGCTGGACTACCGGCGGGGCTACGGTTTCGGGCGGCGCTAAAGTCTGGGTCTGGAGAAGCTAGGGTGGGATTGAGGGCTGGGCCTGTAAGGTAAAGGCCTGAGGTAAGGGGTTGGCTGGGGGGTGGGTAACTGGCGTTAAAGGTGTGACAAAGAGGTGTCTGGGAGGAGCGGAGGCCCCGGATGAAGAACGCGGCTGACGCTTAGACCCCGGCGGGGAAGACAACGCAGCCGAAGGCCGGGAGGGGGGAGGCGGGCGGGGGGACTGGGCAAGCATGAGGCGGAGTTAGGGCCTGAACTGGGGCAAAGCTGAGACTGGAGCTTACGACTGGACAGAGGGTTCCGCCAAGCTGAGGTTCGAGGTTGGACTCCACAAGCAAGAGTCCCGTGGAAGAACCAAGCTGAGAGCGATGTGGGTCAGGACGACACTGACAATTGAAAGATGGACTGAGGAAAAGACTGGCTGCGAAACCCACGCCTGGGACAAAAGCGAGAGCAGCGGTAAGGAGGTGCGGGGCAGAAGATCAGGACGTGCCTCAGGGGCTGGCTTGAGGACCCTAAGAAGGTGTAGAACCGGAGGTTGGGTCTTGACGAGGGAGGCGGGGCCAAAGCCTGGACTGGGGCGGAGTTAGAGTCGGGGCGGGCTCACGTCGAGCCGTGAACCAGTGATCCTAAGGCCCTAGAGGCTTGCTAGCGGAATTGGCGGGAGCCAAGGTTGGAAGGTACGGGTGCACTGAAACCCCAGGCCCAAGCCGCCGCTCTTGAGGCGCTCGGTTTAGCTGTAGCCCAAGGTCCATTGCCCACCCAGGAGCTGGGGCGAGCGGTTCCATTGACCTTAAAGGCGGGAAGGCGTCTGTGGCTTCCACATGTGACATCACAATTGCCTCTAGATGGGGGCGGGGCCGGGAGGCATTTCCTAGGAGACCGGGCGTACTGTCCCTCCCTTGTTTTCTCCTCTTCCCTCCTTTCCTTATTCCTTCCTTCCTCCCTCCCCCTCCCTTACCCTTTCGGCTGCTCTGGTGCCAATTCCTTGTGCCTCTAAGGCCGGGGAGCTCTTCGGCCCCAGGACCAGGAGGATACTTTACAAATGAGCATCATCTGTGAGTTGAGTTAGGCCTCTAATTCAGATTAATGCCCCACCAAGGAAAAGACCAATAGCAACACTTTTTCTTTCAAGCTATCATCTCTCCTCATTCCTTAGGAGGTTCTTTGTGTGTCCAACCACAGCACAGGGTCCAGCTGTTGCAGGAGCTCTGCTGCTTCAGTAGGAGTTGTCCTCTGTTTTCTGTGGGACTAAAGAGCAGTTCCCAGATCTGGGGGTGTAGCCCAAAGGTGCAGTGCTTGCCTAGTGTAGTACAGGAGACCCTGAGTACCAACTCCAGCACCGCCATAAAAAAAGAGCAGCCAGGCGCCAGTGGCTCTTGCCTATAATCCTGGCTGTTTGAGAGGGCTGAGGCAGTGTGAGGACAGCCTGAGCAATTTAGCGAGAACTTGTATCAAAATAAAAATTAAAGGTCTGGGATATTGCTCAGTGGTAGAGTGCTCCTGGGTTCTGCCCACAGTGTAGGGAAAGGGGAGAAAAGAGCAGATTGCCTTTCTTAAATCTGAGTTACTTAATTCCTCTCTCACTTTGGCCTTCACCGCTTCCAGAAACAAGTGATAGTTATTAGGGCTTGTTGCAGGGAGTTAGTGGAGAATAAACAGGTTCTTTCATGATGACTCTGGATAGAGCAAGCCCAGTGAAGTTTAGAGCAGAGTTTGATCCTGATCTAGACTAACAGAGAGGAATTAGCAGTGTTGGAGTTGAAAAGCAGCTGTTGTAGGAGGTGAAAACAGATTTTGGATAAGGAGCTGAACTGGTTTTAAGAATCAGCTATGGCTGAGTGCGATGGCATATGCCTATAATCCCAGTGACCTGAGAGGCCGAGGCAGGAGGATCATAAGTTCAAAGCCAGCCTCAGCAACTTACTGAGGCCCTAAGCAACTTAGTGAGACACTAAGTTTATTTTTTATTTCTCTCAAAATAAAAAATAAAAAGGGCTAGGAATATGGTTTAATGGTTAAGCGCTCCTGGGTTCAAACTCTAGTTTAAGAAAAGAAAGGAAAAAAAAAGACTTGGCTGTGGAGTTCATGTTTGTGTCTCACCCAGCTAACAATTAAGTAGACAGGGCTGAAAGAATGCAAGCTATGTAGCTGGGAAGAACTGAGTTTGGACCCTACTGCTGTGTTCTATTAACATATCTTTTGGACTATTAGAGTCTCTGTATCCTCATCCATAGAATTCAGAATCAAAGTCTGTCTCCCCTGCTTCTGTTCCTGCCCCAACTATACAAAGGATCAAATCCAGGGCCTTACACATTGCTAGGCAAGCACTCTATTATTGACTATTCCCAGTCTCCAAAGGCATCTTTTTTTGGTATTGAGAATTAAGCCCCTCGGCTCTTTACTACTGGGCTATATCCCCAATCCTTTTTATTCTTTTTGCAGTGCTGAGAATTGAACTCAGGGCCTTATGCATGCTCAGCAAGAATTCTACTTCTGAGCCACACCCCCTAGCCCTTTAATTTTTTGAGACAGGGTCTCACTAATTTGGGCTTCAAACTTGTAATCTTTCTTCCTCAGCTTCAGGAGTTGGCAAGACTTTAAGGGCATGTTTTAAAAGCTGTGTGCAGTGGCACATGCTTATATCCTAGTGACTTGGGAGACCGAGGCAGAAGGATCACAAGTATCAGGCCAGCCTCAGTAACTTAGACCCTGCCTCAAAATAAAAAACAAAAGGGCTGAGGATGTAGTTTAGTGGTAGAGTGCCCCTGGCCCCTGGATTTGATCCCCAGTAAC